GGAGACTGGCGTGGTTGCCGCCGCCGCCGCTTGGTGGCGCCACTTGTGCGGAACGAACGTTGCTGGCCGCTGCTGGCCGCCGCGCAGCAGGCGCGCGAACTTTGAAACGGAACGGGGTGGGTTGTTCCGTTACAACATGCGTCAAACTTTTCAATATAAGTTCTGCAGCTCTAAAAATAAGATTTTCATATTCATTTCGACCAACTTTCATTTCAATCACTTATTAAAAAGCGTTCAAATCTCGAGGTGGGCACATCTGCTACCTCCTGCTGCCAACCTCACGAGCACGACAGATGGCCACCGGGGCAAAATAATTAAAATGCGTATTTTTCTTTTTGTTAGTGTTTGTGTTGTTGTGGAATAGTGTACTCATGAGGGAAACGAGAATACTTTGTGGTACTTAATCTTAAAACTAAACATAAGGGAGGAAACCGTCGCCAGTTTCTCGTCTTAGGTTGGCGACCCTTTGTGTACGGCTTCGTCGGGGCCGGCCTATCCTAGTCGGACCTCTGTCTCCCGTCCTCCGTGACCCGCGTCTGAACGGAGTCATCCCGTTTTCATCTCCATTCCTTCCCCCCAGGATTTCCCCCCGCTCACTTTGCCAAGAAGGGATAATTAACTGGACTTCATAACTGTTAAGTTTCAACTCGGGTGCGATGGAGAACCTCGACAGAACAACCCCGTCTGCTAACAAGGGCCCACAGGGCAGAGGGCGCCAGTGAATGTGCAGACAGCTTCACGACCAGCAAGTCGGCCAGACCAGCGCGCGCGCGGAGCGGAGCGGAGCCGTCCCCGACGCGGTGTAGCTGAGCGAGTGAGGCTGGGCGGGGCGAGGCCAGGCGTGGCGGAGGGAAGCGGGGATTCTTAATGAGAGCTGAATGTTGCATGAGGGCATGTCACCTGGACAACCACAGGGTGGAAGATTCACAAGGCAGCGCGACGCCGCTCCACGCCCCGCCCCGCCCCGCCACGCCCCGCCAGGCGAGGATCGCAAGCGCGGGAGAGATGAAGGGCGTGGAGCGAGGCAGAATGTTGTCATCGTCCCGCAGCACACCGGCTCCACCTCAACTCTAGATCGGGGGGGGGGGGGGCAACAACAGCATGTCAGCCACCCTCCCGGAAGCCAGTACCTAAAGAGAACGCACATTTTCATGTGCAGCGTTTGCACGTGAAATGCCACAGGGGCAGCCAGCGCAGCGCGGGGCGTGCAGAACCACAGGAAATAATAAACGCAGCCAGTAACTTAACGAGAAACCGAACCAACTGCGGTTTGTTGAGAAACGGCGCATTCGCCAATCGCCACCAACATCACTGCAGCAGCGATGCAGCGGAACCCTCCCGCAACCCCCACTACGCAGTCCCACGCTCGCCACCGCCCCCGCGCGGCGCGGAATCCAAATATTTTCTCATCGCTGCTGAGAAATCGCTCCGGATACGCATGGCGATATGAGACCATCCCGTTCTTAGCCGCCTGACTTATGGCCCCGGTCCGAGACGGGCGAAGTTATACGGGGCGCCGAGCAGCGCCGAGCAGCGCCGAGCAGCGCACCACGCTAACGGGGCGGCCGGCGGCCAGGGCGGCGGCGGAGGTGAGATGGCCCCAGCCCCTCATTGCGAACCGACAACGGAGTGATTTATCGGCAGAGGAGAGAGAGGGAGAGAGGGAGAGGGAGGGAGGAAGAGGGAGAGAGAGAGAGAGAGAGAGAGAGAAAGAGAGAG